CAAAAAGTGTTATTGAGCAATTAGAAAAGGCTAAGAATGATTGCAGAGAATACCATCACCATTCTTCGTTACCTACAATCATTTCGTTTACTATTTCTAGTCAAGCTATTGCTCAAACTGTTGCAAGTGTGGGCTCTGTCGTGGAAGCACGTAAGTGAAGCGTATCGAACATATTATCAGTTTGCCCTCAAGAACCGTGCTTCACACGCCTTATTACGAAAGCAATGAGATACTACGGTGATCGGCTTTAGGTGGGATCCACCACACAATTCAAGTTAAAAGACTGGTGGCTATTTTTCGAATAACTCGAAAATGCAATAAGATGAAGTCATGCAGCTTTCACCGTTTACCATTCGAAACCCGACATCTGAGCGTACCTCTCCAAAGGCACAAATGTTATTAAACACGGTTTTCGATGAGGTCTTAGGAAAACTAGTTCGTAAATCCAAAAATGAAAATAGAAAAGTACTGATTTTTTTCATCAATGGATAGTTCAAAGTGTTCTTTGCACGAGCAGAACTACGCGGTTTCTTAATCTTTCGTGGTTTAGACGCGGTACTCTGTTTTGTCTGTTCCATCCCACCCAGCGATAACACAAGTAAAATGTCTTCTGCTCTTTCTGACGGTTTTAGAAAGCCTTCTCAAAATTTAAAGTTTTCTCAGTTCGTTTACAGAAGTTCTAGTCAAGCGCGTGATATACGATAAAATACGATAAGCCTTGGTACTCTGACATAGTCTGCATCGTTTGTGGCTAAATTTTAAATTTTCAAATTGTACTCAAATATAAGCAGGACGGGATTGCTTCACTCAGCATAGGTCTGCTCAAATAGGGCTCAAAATTAGATTCTATCAGTGGCATATTCGTGTATAGACAAACATACAGCTACTTTGTCTCTTTCTAGCGACTCGTATCTCCATCAAAACAGCATCATTAACATTAAATACATGGACTCCAGTCGCCAGCATGTCATCAGCACGATATGGGCACACTGCAACTTTATTATTATCTGGGAAAGTATTAGTAACAGATGGTCAAGGTTCGTCGACTTGCGAAGTGTATGATCCTCTATCGAATACATGGACTCCAGTCGCCAGCATGGCATCAGCACGATATTGGCATCCTGCAACTTTATTATCATCCGGGAAAGTATTAGTAACAGGTGGTCAAGATTTGTCGAGTTGCGAAGTGTACGATTGGTAGAACTGTTAGTGTGTAAATGCAGATCATTTTCCTGTTTCGAGGTGAAGCGGCTGAACTTGCTTCTAGGTAGGCCTAAAGGCATGAGATCTTCGTGCTCACCTTCTTACTCAACTGTTTCTATATCCCTAAACGTGTTTGCATTTCTTGTGATCGCATCAATAATAATGGGAATCTATCTCTCTTCGCGTAGACGAAAATATATAACTGTTTTTCGGTGCCTTACCTTACAATAAGACAGTAGAGTAAAGAAAATGAATATATTCGGAGCGTCTCTCAATTACTTCGTCACTGGAAATTTACGGCTTGGACACGTAACCCGATGCTTCAATGTACAAGATTTAAAATCAGTTTCTGGCGAAAACGGCTTATGCCATTTTGTAGAGCGTAGTCGATAGTGTATAGAAATATACGTTTTAGTCGCCTACATGCAAAGCACATTCAATCACATCAATTGGCGATTAGATAGTAGTACACCATTTCAAAAAATAATAGGCGCGCATACTTTGTAAAATATTTATGTCAATAGACTTATGTATTTGTTCCGGGATTTTTTTTCTTGTTGTCCGAAATTGGACATAAACAAAATATTGGTTCGGGACGCTATTATTCAATCAAGTAAAGCATTCCGTAGAGGACTACCGAAACTTCCTAACTTCTATGTTTTACCGAAAGTTCATAAGAGAAATTGTCCGGGTAGACCTATCGTCTCTGGAATAGGGCATTGCACTGAAAAAGCATCTCAATTTCTGTGCGAAATTTTGCAACCGTTTGTCACTTGTTCATCACGGATTGCTAAAGACAAGTACTCGTGTGCCTTTTATAAGGTAATATGTAGTACTCAAGAATTTATTAATGAAATCGAGTCGATAAATAATGCGATAAAAGACGAAAAACTGGATTTAAGGAGAATTTGGCTAGCTACGACTGATATTGAATCTCTGTACACTAATATTCCGATTGAGGGAGGAGCTGCAAGAGTTTCAGCATTTATATTTTCGAATAAAGAATTTGC